TGAAAACACCTGGATGATGGGTAGAAACAGCATATGAATGATATGCATAAGCAGTGATTTATAAGAAGGGAAGATATAACCAAACTTCCCAGAAATCTAAATAAGAATCTGTAAATTACTGCCTACCAGAAAGTGAGAGTGAAATCCTGAGTTTAACAGGATCACCCTGTCACTCTAAACAATGAATTTCAAGTTGAGTAGTTGGCACATGAGTTACTCTAACATGGCTATCTGGCAGGAGAAATCCATGAGCCAAGCTCTGCGGCTCACGCCACACACAGAAACATGGAACAAACACACGGACCTACCTGGGGTATTTGGTACGGAATCAAAGTGACAATTGGATAACACTGCATGCTCGGCTCCATTGCGAGGTTCCAGCTTCACTACCACATTGGTTATGTTTGCATAGTAACTAGTAAAGCCTCCCAGAAAGTCAATGCTGAAGGAGCCTGTGGGCCTCTGTATGTCTACAGATATCTTGTGAGCATCCGTACTTTCTCTTTCTATCTCCCTGATTTGTTCTAAGAGGTAGTTAACTGCAAGAACTTCATTTTCTGGACTTCCAACTGTTCTGGGCCCAATTGCTGTAATGTTGTCAAGATATCCCCTGTAAGACATAAATTAAAACTTAAGGATCAATACATTCAACATTTAGTATGTAACTTATCTACAACCATAACACTTTAGTAGATGGTTCTATTTCAAAACTCAAGGTAGGCAGAAGAGACTAAAGCCAGTTAGATTATAACTTGTAATGGGCAATAGGCCTGATTAGGACTCCTTATTTTTAACTATTCACCATGATATTAAGCCATAGTATTGGTTTTCTGATCTGAGCATATCAATTTAAAAAGAAACAGAAAAGTGAATGGAGAAGCTAAAGATTTTACCTTTAACGAGGTTCTACGTATGCATATATGTCCTTTTCTGAATATCTGAAAAAGCACACTTTTATCAAGACATACACCTGACGCTAACACTCCAAAACTGAAATTAAAGTGATAGTTTTAATCTTCCCGACGTCTCGATATATAACAACTGAAAACTTGCAAGGAAACTTTCCCAGACACTGAGCACCACACGAGACTACTAGAACTAAACTATGGGGGAGGCGCTGTTCCACCAGCTCCGAGCTCTCACCAGGGCACAGCGCGACACGACCCCTCTGCCAGGGACCGCCACCGACCCCGGCCGCCCCCCGCCCGGCGGCCCCGTCGTACCTGGCGCGGGAGGCGCTGAACTCGCGGGGCCCGGCGGTGGCGGGCGGGCGGCTCAGCAGCTGCCGGTGCGACACCTGCGCCAGCGCCCGCAGCCCCAGCAGGTACAGCAGCAGCGCCGTCCGCCCGCCCGCCGCGCAGCCGCCGTACGGGCACGGGCACGGGCGAGGGTCAGAGCGCGGCCCGGCCCCGCCCGCCGCTCACGTGGCCCGGCTCAGGGCCCGGCGGTGGCGCTGGCGCTGCGGCTCTCCCACGGCCATGGGGTCCGTCGGGTTTTGGGGGAAGAGCAACTCACCGGGTCCAGTCTCCCTGCCCAAGCAGGGTCATTCCAGAGCACATGGCTCAGGATTTGTCCATACTGTTCTTGAATATCCCAAGTGAGGGAAACTCCAGAGCTTCTGTGGAGGCAATCTGTTCCAGTGCTCAGTCACCTGCACTGTAAAGAAAAAGGTTTCTTCCTCTTGCTCAGGTGGAACCTCCTGTGCATCGCTTTCTGCCCATTGTCTGCTCTTGTCTTCTGCCCTCTTGCCCTGCTTCTCAGAGTTGCTCAGAAGAGCCTTGTCCGTCCTCTTGGCACCCTCCCTTCAGAGACTTACAGACACCAATAAGGCCGCTGCACAGTCATATTTTCTTGAGGCTGAACAAGCCCAGCTCTCTCAGCCTTTCCTCATAAAAGAGATGCTCCAATTCTTTAGTTACTGTCGTTGTTCTCTGTCAGATGTGCTCCAGGAGCTCCATGTCTCTCTTGTCCTCAGGAGCCCGTAACTGGGCACAGCCAGCGCAGCTGGGCCTGCTTTGGCTACACAGCGAGGCTGGGAAGCCCTCAGCGGTGGTTGCCCATGGAAAGTGGTGGCCTGGCAGTGGTGAAGCCCTGGGCCCTCTGTCCAGTTACAGCTCCAGCGTGAACGTCCACCTGACCCTAAACCTGACCAAAGACTGCTCCATGCACTATGTGCTGCATCACCTTGCTCACAAAGGTGCGCAAGGCTTTCCCTGGTTTCCTGGTTCTTTTAGCTGTTTTGGTTGGTTGGTTGGTTTTGTTTTCATTAAAGCAGAAAGGAAAGTTCACAGAAGTAACAGTGGTGCCATGTAGGGGAGCAGCAAAGTGCCATAACCCTAGCCCTAAAAAAACATGAAGTAACAGCACTGGTGGTTCTTGCAGGGTTTCCCCCTCCACTGCATTATATCTTTGGCATTTCATAGTTGTAGCAGTGCCCAGACTGGAGCTCACGTAGGCTGGGGTGCAGAGCAATAGCATCAGGAGGTGCTAGTGAATAGTGGCTTCTAGTGATCTCCTGCCAAGGAGAGCATCCGCGAGGATGGGACCCGAGCAGTGACAAGGACCATCACTCATGCAGCACTCCACATGGTTCTCTTTGGGAGAGAACATTTCTGCCTGTTCTCACACTGTCTTTGAATGATGGCAGACACCTTTTTGTGGTCGTTTTCCCTATGTTTACCATACTGCTTTCCAGTGTTCTTCACCATTTTTGAAGATATCCTAAAAGACACTTACTTTTTGCTGCTTTGTGATGTAATCTGGGAACAAAATACATAATGATCTAGAGAAATGGCAGTTTCAATAAATCTAGTGGTGTAGGTAAACACTGAACACTGCTCCTTTCTACCCTGCCCTTGTTGGCAAATGAAAACTAATAGGATTAGCAATATTCATTGGAATTAAAAAGTCTGAAAAAAGTGGCAGACTGAAATATGATGACTACACTCTCTGCACACCCCAGGTTCTTTCGGAAATTTCCATACTCAGGCTTAGCGAGTTTTCTGATTTGCTTCACTGCATCCTCAGTACAGACAAGATTATTGATGGCGATTTGTGATTTACAACTCCTGATTACGCTATGACCCAGTAACATAGTTCTAGGCTTAGAGTCTTGGTTTATTCTGTTTTGTTCAGTTTTTCTTCCTTTCTGCTTTTGTCTCACTTATCTATGTTACCTCTCTCTTCACAAGCAGACAAACATACCTACAGGTTAGGTTCTCAATAGTAGATGTTACATTAGAAACTGCTGTGAAAAATTGCAATATAATTTTTTTTTCATAAAAATACCAGTGCAGAATTAGTCCAGTGAAAGGTTTGCAACACAAATAACAAAACAAAACAAAACAGAAAAATCAAATGTGACCCCCCCCAATATGTCATGGAATGGAAACTGCCCTTGACAATGTCATATTAATAACCTATATGATGTTAAGTTAGTACTATGAATATACTTAAGAAAATACGGTTTTAAAGAAAGACGGGCCTGCTATTGAGTGTAGGTCTCTATTTCTCCTTTGAAATTCTTGTGTAGGTCTTGAAGTTATATAGAGAAGACAATCAAGGAATCATATACAGACTTTCATCTCTTATTTTGATTTATTGGATAATATCATCAGTGTTGAAATACTGGGGGGCCACCACTCCTGGAAGACTTACCTAAGCACCTTTATGCAGGGCCAGTGGCTCTCCAGCAACATATTTTGTTTTGCATCAATTCTACTATGCCTATGTTATTGATGTGAAGCATTATGCACAGTTTGAGAAGTAGGAGCTATGCATCATTTGTTGATGTGTAGCCCTTTCTTTTGGCTCTAGACATACATGAGGATTGGAACTGTAGAAAAATTTAATTGTTTTCCTTATTATTCTCCTTTTATTTTTTGGGCAACATTTGAACATTAAACCACCCCCTGTTAAGAAAAATTATTGACCATACTAATTTTGGTAACAGTCGTATTCTTATAGATCAAAACAATTTTTAAAATTCTGGCAATTCAAAATTCAGAAGTAATTTTCTGGTTTAGATGAGAAAGACTTTGTATGTTTGAAAGAGCAACAGCCCTTTTATCTTCTGAGCACAGCATTTGGGAGGGCACTGCGCAGAATTGGGCTGGAATTATAGTGCTTACATGTTTTGACATGACTGTAATATCAAGGTCAAATACATCAACAAACACAGTGCCCTTTATTGCTCTGTTAGTCTGGAATGACCAATTAAGATAATTGGATCTGATTTCCAATCAAATTATTCAGCATAAATTCAGTTTGACTTTATGTCAAGAAGGCTGGTGTTTAACCTAGTATCTTGCCATCCAAGCTGGTTCATTTTGTCAGCTCACAAAAGAGGAAAATCCCATGTTCACTGAGCATTAATTGTACTTGTAAACCTTGTTTTAAGCAGGAAAAGTAAAAAGACAATTCCTTATCGATAAGGTATATGGGTTGGATTTGTTTTCTAGTTTAGTGGCAAAAATAAGTTAAGTCACAGCAGGTTAGCATTCTTGCTTAACAGAAAAGTACAGATATTAATGTTTTATACGCTAAGGCCACCATCAGCTCCCTAGGGCGAGAGAACTAGAAGGTTCTTCTATCTTCAGAAGAACATTCAGTTTTGACTAAAAATAGACAGTGATGAAATAATAGGTAAGTTGTTCCCATTGTCACCTTTCCTATTCAAATGTGACTTACTTGTGGTATTGATTTCTTAGTTTCCGTTTTCTATCCATCAAATCTTATTACATCATTGACCAATAAATTGAAAATCCCTTTGTTGCAAGATGTCTAGTCTACTGTAGGTATTAATACATCCTGATCAAGACCCCTCTTACATTCATCTTCAACTTTAAGTTTTAGAAACTGGTGATTTTCCAGCCCTTTCATCCTCCTGTTAACCATTCTGATGATTTCAAGTTTTCTAGTAACCTACCTGCATTGCTAAACCAAAAGAAATAGCATTACAGCACCTACATCAGTGACACATACAAAAGTAAGGTCATTGCTACTCTGCAGGGAGGCAGATATTTTTATTTGCTTTAACATCAGCATGTTGCCACAGCTTTGAAGTGACAGTTCTGTCCAGTTGTCTTGCGAATCTGGTTCTGTCACTGCAGCATGTTCCAGCCATCCACTCATTGTCCCACAGCTTCTCTGACAGACCAGTCTTCAATGAAATTTGGACTCAGCAGGAAACTCTGTGAGGAAGAAGAATCAGATTTTACATTCTGAGTTTCCAGGGCCTGTTATGTCAGCCTTTCCTTAGTGACAGATGTGGGCTTGGAAAAATCTTGCTTCCCTGCACATAAGGTTGTGTTGAATCACTGAACCTTGGTGCTGCAATGGAGCTAGATCTTTACTCCTCCCTCAGGCACAGATCTTTCATCTCTTCAACCACATATCCAGCAGTTACCTCACTCCTTTAGCCACAGTGTTGTAACTAGAAGCTCATATTAAATCAATTTTCTGCCCTGTCTTCAAGGTGGATTTTTTGGGCACTACTACCAACAGTCCAGTTGCCATCCCTTAATTGTGGCCTGGTTCTTATTCTGTGTACTGCAAATGTTTGCCTTTCAAATTTTGTAAGCATTCAGTATTGTTCTGAGTCAGCACACATTCTTCTTCATTATCTGTTGCCATCCCAGTCTTAAAACTGAAACTAGGAAGAATATTTTCAAGAATATTGAAAGTGCAAGAATCCATCCTGATAGAAATACAGGGTAGCCTTGTGTAGTCTTGTATTCAGTTCAATACAAGCTGTTGTCCATTCTGAAAAGTCTTCTATACAGGCACACTTCATGCTGTCAAGGAAACTGGCACTTCTTGGACTTTATTTCCTCACTTTATCATAACTCCACAATATAGCACCTAGCCATGGATAGCACAGTGTGTCACAGGCTAGTTTAAGAAAATAGCACAGGAAGTCTAATGAGCTTATATCCCTTAATGTCCATGCTCTCAGCTGAATCCTTCTAAAAATCTTTCCCAGACATCAACCAGGAACATTTAGGGCTAATTTAGCCAACCATATCCATCTCTCTCCTAAGGTACGAAGACAGAAAATGCCTTATTGACACTCCAGACATACCCAAGAACTGGGCATTTTCACCTTCATGCTATAATTAAAGCAGAATGATTAAACCCCGGTCACTCTTTTCAGAACAGGAAGTGGAAGAAGCCATCCACAGATGCTAGATTGATAGGGCACAGAGAGACTTGTTTGCATCAGCACTGTACTTAACCATTTTGATTTGGTAAGCTTAAGCAGTGCATTTCTCTCTTCCCTGTTTAGCAGTACTCATTTCCTGTGTCCCCTTCTTCTTCTGACCCTATAATTTTGAAGCTATAATGACAACCAAGAATTACACAGAGAAAATGAACTGCTTATTGCTTGTTGAAAAACAAAACAAACAACCTTTATTCAGATAAATATACCCTCCAGTTGCAGCCAAGTCAGACTCTATGTCACCTTCTTACCTGTAGATGCTCTGCCCCCCATTCCATGCAGGCTAAGCATATATAGGGAGGCCAGGGATTGATGTTATGAAGGGAGTCCAGGGATTGATGTTTCCCTGGAGAAGGGAGCAATCAGCATACCTTACTGTAATTTTAGGACAAAAGGCTTTTTCTTCATTTGCTCTAAGCCTGTAAAGCTTCAGTCAATCTTAAACTAATAAGAATTTGTTAAACTAGTAATCAGATAACCAGAACCAGTCCAAAACCAAGCCACTTATTCTTCTTTTATTTGTTAAATAGTTCACTTTTTACAGTCTGACAGCTTCTGACAAACCCTAATCACTCACTTGCTTATTTGGTGCCTCTTTCTGCTCTTTAGTCCGTCTGATATCTGCCAGCTATCACTGCCAGCTATCCTGTCTCCACAAAACACGCATCCTTTGTCATCCTAACTTTATGCAACTGAATCACCACCCTAGTTCTTCTTCTCTAATCACATCAAGATTAAATTATTTTTTTCTTTCAAGACATTAAGTGCCTCTGTACTCATCCACATATGTTACCCAGGTTCATTTATCATCCCATGTCAGCTATTTTGGCAGTGATGTCAGCCTGTTTATTTCTTACATAACAGTTTTCCAATCTTTTCATATGCTATCTCTCCTGCACACAGTCCTCAAAAAATTTACGATCAGACTACCTGTATTACATCAGTAATCATTTAACACCACAGATCAAACACAGTCATTTTGATTCAGTCATTTCAATCAATATTCTCTTAGCTAATGGATCATATGACCTGGGAGCGTTTTATCTTGGCTTACTATCTGTTTATCAATGCTGTCAGAAGGCTTTGGTCAGGAAAAAAAAAAAAGAGGATGTATGTGATAAGAGCAGGTAGTTCCAAGTAGAAGGACAAGCATGGTCACCACAAAAGACTGATGAATGCAGGAGGCATGGTTTTAATAAGCTCTCTGCCTTTCCATCTGAGCACAGCTGACTATGAGGAGACTTTGCCAAAATTGTGTGTATTTATGCCGGGCTGGCTATCTACATTTGTGCAGTTTATTTAAATAAAAATTTCATTTCAGAGACTTGTTTCCCACATTTTATATACACTGCGATAACAATAGACAATAGGTAGGTATGTTGTGTCTTCTTCAAAGACAGCCCTGTTCCCATTGAGAAATCAATGAAGAAATTCTCTGGTGATGAAAGGAGTGAAGTAATTTTGAACTCAGTGGAGCTGAAATTATTTACAGCAGCAGAGAACACAATGACTACTTTCAGTTTTGAGAATACTGAGAAAAAGGCGTTTTACAAATACATGTATCGAGCCTCTGTTTCAACCATTGCCGATTTCATTCTATGAGCCTAGTAATAAAAGCCAAGACACACTAAATCCTGAATGGTTAAATATTTGTTTATGACTTGACTGGACAGCATTTAAGCATAATCTTTTCATAATCATGAATAACTGTTATTGACGTACAGATGTTCCAGGGAGATTCTCATTTCACTCTACACCAAATATTTAATGGAACAGTCTACCTGTGATTGTATTTTGTGCTTACTCAAGCACTTAAAGTGGAAGCTAACCCTTGGAATTAGTGAAAGCTGAACTGACAAACTAGATCTGAGGAGAAGTGACTCTTCTTGCCATCTGGAATAAACTTTTTTTCCTCCAGTGTATGAATGGAAACATGAAAGTTATCGTACGAGTTTTCTAAGATGCTTAAATGTTGAACAAGAAATAATGTAAGCAGTTTAATAGAAGTGCAGTGTACATTTTTTTCTTACTTTTAAAGTAGAAATAAGATTAATAAGTTAAATTTTATTTGTAAATTTAACATGTGGAGAAAACCAATAGATGATTAAGGAGAAGTACTGTACACAGGTATAGCATAAAATTTCTGTATGTCTGTTCACACAGAAAATTGTGAAAATATTTTAGCCTGATCAGATTAGCAGAATCTACTATGGTATTAATGCATAATAGTAGTTCTGGATAACCCAAACTAAATGGTATGAGTAAAGACTAAATGTATTTCGTAGGAAAGACTGTAGAAAATGAACAATCAGTGTAGTCCTGCAAGACCATTCTGATTTTAAGGCAGAGTCATGATAAGCCATGACAATATTCCTTTGCACATAATCCCCAGTAATATCAGTGAATATAATATTAAAAATAATCTGATGGACTGACCAGTGAAATATTCCAGTCTTCATTATTTTGTATATAGACTTGAATTCCCATGACTGTAATACAATATTCAAGGGCCACCTATTCCAAGCATCCCAACAATGAGGAAGTCAGGCAGATACAGCAGGAGGCTCACTGGGTGAGCCATGGGTTCTGAGGGAATGGGCAGAGGAAGTGGCTGAGCCACAGTGTCACATTTGAGAAGTAAGTCGTGGCAGTGAAGCTGGTGGAGCTGTCAGTGACTGGCAAAGGGGAAGCATAACTGCTGTTTTTAGAGAAGCAGTAAAGAACACCAGTAGAAGTACAGGCCAATCAGTCACACCCCTGTGCCTGGCAACATCATGGGTCAGAATGTGGTGGGCTCATGGGACATGTGAATACACTGATTGTATACAACCACCATGTATACAACAATTTCTTCTCTGGACTGAGCAGTCTCACCTGTCAAGTTTCATTCCTGGCCACTTCTTTCTGCCTTCTGCATTGTAAAAGCACACAATTAATTTTGCCAAACTGGGAAACTGCCCCAGTGTAGTGACCCACAGCATCAGTTCACCAGTCTAGTTCACTGCATGAAAACCCACGTGGTAGCAAGAAGGTGAAGCAGGAGTGGCAACAACTTTTCTGTCAAGACTGCACACTAATTCCACTTCAAAAACTACCCCATAATTTTCCTTTGCCATGATTTTGTCTTCTCCAGCCATAAAACATAGCTCTAGAGAATTTTCCCAGCAAAAGAAAATCAGAATGTCACGTTACAAACATGCTGGCTTCGCATGCAAATATGCAAAAAATATGAAATGTATCTGTTTCTTAGTTATGCAGGTCAACTGCATATTTATACTTCCCTTAGCACACACAAACTACACAGATTACTAATCAAGTAATGAAGTAAGTACACAAACATGTAAATAAAAATACTACAAAATGCAACAGCCTACCAACAGCTACCCAACAGGTAGCTAGAGGAAGGCAACAGCCTACCCTGCCCCCCACCAACAATTACAGTAGCAGTATAGCCACCACAACTTTAGCGCAAGGTAAATTGGTAGGAAAGGGAATAAGTTCCAATAAACCAGCAGTGAGAGCTGGGAGAGAAAAGTTTTACAAGGACCAGCAGTATTTAACTGTGGGCTCTTAAATCACACAAGTAAAGGACTGCTCTGGTGTGGTGAAGGGTTCAAATATACATATATCATGCTCAGGAAAGCACATTAGAGCTTCCTGTAACTTCTGTAGTTGCTGCAGGCTATGTGATGCTCACTGTAGCCAACATCTGCCCAACAGCACAAGCATAGGGAAGCCACAAATGAATTTCAAATTTGAATAAACATTTGCAGTAAATGCCCCAGAACACAAGGGAGTTTGAAGTCAGCTGACACATCTGAACTTCCTGGTTGGTCCAATAGTTGAGTTCAGTAGAAAACATGGACAGCAGTCCAAGGCTAGTGTAACTATAGTGCAGATAATAAAATCTGCATTCCTCTTGTAAGTTTCCTCCACCCATTCCTGATTTTGTTTCTCTGATCTCTAGTGAGG